CGAAAATGGGGGACCCTAATATAGCACCCTAAGTAGTAGGATCCTTATTATAAGGACCCCAAATTTAGGCACCCCCAATTTTCGAAAGCTACCACATATCGATGGGTTTTCTGGGAACCATGGGAACCCCGAGCCTGAGAGCCTAGACCCCGGACCCTGAACTTTGCCTAAACCCCTTGGTTTTGAAGTAACCAGGGGGAAAAAGTATAGACTTTTATTTCATAATGGGTTCCCTTTAAGTAACAAGCCCCAAAAAAGTATTAAAGTATGGTACTCCAAAGCCCGGACCCAAGAACCCCATAAGAACGCGCTGAGAACCCTGTCAGAACCTCAAACCCAGCTCCTGCACCCGACCATCGCCTGACGGGCCAGAGCGATCTGATCCAACGCAGAAAGCTCCTTCCACGCCGATGTCCTTGGCAGGTCGTTCTGCCGGTTTCAATTTATTTGGGGTTTAAAACTTTTAGAACTGTTTACAAGCTCTTTCAAGATCTTTGTGATTGGAGTTCAGGGGCTTAGGGTTTCGTTGTTGAAGGCATCCGCGAGCTTTTGGTTTGGGTATTGGGAGGGGTGTACTGGATCCCCGAGTGGGAACGATCCCCTCACCGACTTGCGGCTTGAGACATGCAAAAACTGCAAACTTAGCAACTTCCCTGACTTCTCTGAACCCTGCAACACCCTTTTAGAAATAATAGACAGAGCCCTATACCTATATCCCTTAGTAGGAATTGTTTAAGAAGGTCTACTAGCCGGTCTGTTTATTCTTTTGGGGGAACCATGAAAAAGGACAAGGCTGACACCAGACCCCGACCCTTAAATTTCAAATACACGCCCTTCCAGCCCCTATCTGCGAGTTCATGGGAGTTTCCGAAAATAGGGGACCCGAATATGGCACCCTATATAAATAGAAAGGTCCTGATTATACGGGCCACCTTGTGCCCCAGAACCTTAGCGGGGCCTTGGGCTTAGGCTAGGGCTTGAGCCCTGAAGAACCCAAACCATTGAAGTCTGGCGGCCTTACACCTCCGAGACCAGAACGAAGAGTATGCCAGCAATCTCTACATGACGGAGTTTGCCGGGGTCGTGAGATACCAAAACCTGACCCCCAAACCTTGATCGAACACAAACAGGCATGCAGACCTCTTGAAAAAGACCCTAAAATATCAAAGCCGGCGTCCCACTCTCTCCCGCGATGGCCACAAGGGGGTGGAGGCCATATTGGAGAATCTCGGCTTCAAGGAAGTCGACGAGTCCCTCGGCGTGTGGCTCTAGTCTTACCTTTGGTTAGTAGGGAATGAAGGAATGGGGTACAACTATAGCTACTATTACTACCATTCTTCCATTCCCTACTAACCAAAGGTGAGTAGTTTGGGGTTACGGTTTAGGTTTTCGGGTTGTGGGTTGAGGGTTTGGGGGCGGCTAGGCTTAGGGTTTAGGATTCGGGGTTTAGGTTTAGGGTTTCGACTCGCGCACTCGCTCAACACAGGCACGGCTTCATGAGGTTAAGTTTAGGGTGTGAGGGTTAAGGGCGGTTCAGGGTTTAGGGGTTTCGGCGCTCACACTCGGACAATCCGGGCGAGGCATATGGTCCGAGGTGTGCCAAAGTTTAGGGGTTTAGGGTTCCGGAGTTTGCACTCTCGCAACTGGAATGCGGCAAGCGAGGGTTGTTCATGTGCGAAGGGCGGCACTTTGGCCACAGGTCAGCCTTTTTGTTCAGAGGATCCCAAACCCACAGAGCTTGGAAGCTTAGAATCAGAGGGCTGTGGCTTCCAATGGTGCTCAACTAAAACTCCTGAACCCCACGGCGATTTTGAACTTGAGGGGGTGTCTGCAACTTGGGAGCCACTTACCATAAAGACCCCTAAATGAGACCCTACCCTGGACCCTAAACTTGTAACTCCAGGCTCCTAAACTCAAAACCTAACCCGAACTAACCAATGGTTTCGGGGTTCCCGTGGCTCTTTAGCTCCTGATGTAGTAGGGATTACCATCATAACTGGCTCCTTAGCTCCTCCAACGTCAATGGCTAGCGAAACCCTGCACTACTTGGAGGGTCGGGGGACTTAGTAACTGGCTATTTTCGGGACTTATAAGTACCATAACCCCAATTAGAGTCCCCTTTTAGGGTACTTATAAGTCTACTTACTGCCTACTTACTAAGTCCCGCGACCCTCCAAGTAGAGACCGATCAAGTTCAGCGAAGCCACCTCCAGGTCCTCGAGTCTCCGGGTCTTCGCACGCTGGATCAGCAGGAGCCTCAGATTGATGTGGGGATACTATCAAAGGGGAAATGGAGGGACCCTTAATGGGGACCCCTACCCTATAAATGGGCTATATAATGGGTATATAATGGCTATATTAAGGGTATATTACCTAGGGGTCCTTAGTAAGGGTCCCTCGCTTTACCCTTGGAATGTAAGCTAGCAGGTTCCGGGTTCCATAATGAATGCTATAGTGGATACTAGACTGCACGGGCCTCTTTCAAAGGTACGTTCCGCATGCTCGCGTTCCTTAAGGCCCGCCCGGCCGCGTGCTGTACTTGTCGAAGGGGCCAGCGAGCAAAGGCAAGCACGACAGAACAACACGCCCTGTCACACCCCATGCTCGGAGGACAACAGCACCATTGCGTGTTGGATTTAGAACATGCAACATGGGATTTAATATGCTTTGACAGGACCTCAACTTGCCCATAGCACAAAACAGCAACAGGGCCCAGGGTTGGATTGCAACCGCCTCAACCGCGTTTGTGGAAAGCTCACAATCAATGCCTTGCCTCCGCCAGGACCCACGGACAAGTCACCTGCCAACACACCCCTGACAGAAAAAAGCAAGACATTAAACCAACAATCACCACCGAACTCGAAAAAAGAAGATGGTACGCCAGGTGAAGTGACCCCCCTAACCAACAGAAACTACAGATGCCCAACCCTAGACCCAAACCCGAAACCCCAAACCCTTAAAACGAAAGCTGTAGCCCACTGTCCAACCGAACTACCCTGCAATGCGGGCCTCGTCCTTGCTTTGTAGGAGGCAGAAAAACCTTTAATCCTCAAAAACAAGGCCTACTTGTCGGGTACCATGGGGAACTAAAGGTTAACCTTCTTGGTTATATAGGGATTATATAGGGGCTATACTACCCAATAAAGGTTACAATTTGACTACTCTACTACTACGGTTGATGACATAAATCCTGCATTACCCATAATGAGGAATATACCATAATTCCCATAGTGTAGGGTCCTTACGGTAATGCAGGATTGACATCATGAACCGTAGGAAAGCCACCGGGAAGCCGGAGGAAGGGTCCCGGGCCAGTCGAAGCCTCTGTGGAGCGAGGTCCGAGCCTCACCCCGGGCCGGGCGATGAACTGCTCCTGGGCTCGGAGCTTTCGAGATTGGGGCTTTGGGTTCAGGGTTTAGGGTTTAGGGATTAGGGTTTGGGGCTTTGGGTCCAGGGTTTAGGGATTAGGGCTTAGGGATTAGGGTTTAGGGCTCTTGAGCTCGAAGGTGTACTACGGGGGCCTTAATAATTAGAATTGGGTTTGGGGGCCCATTATACTATAATTAAAATGAGGAGCCCGCAGAATAACATAGATAGTTATTAAGGCCCCGAAAGTAGTTTGGGGATCACTTAGTGTTTCTATTTTAAGGGTTTGTGGTTTACGCTCTCACAACTCGGACACAGCCAGGCGAGGTTCTTAGGTGCGGAGTCGGTGTGAAAAGTCTCTTGTAGTGGGTTTCGGGTGTCGGTTGAGTGTTGGGTATATAATTCGGGATGTTGGCTTCTTCGGGCTTGGAGGTGTAGTTTGGGGTTCAGGGTGTGGGTTCTAGCATGTTCCAAAGTAAGGGTTCCGTAAAGTTGGCCTTTTTGGTGGGCACCAGAGCTCGGAGGTTCTTCGTGTTTTGAAAAGGTTTCATAGGGGCTCTATAGGTCTTTCGTTTAATATAAGGGTTCACCTTAAGAGTTGGGTAGTCGTGAGGCTTCTTGAAGGGATTGGTAAGGGTGCACTACGGGTACAGGGAAAGCCTTATAAGGTCTTACGGTGCTTTAAACCTTACCTTCGGTTATAGTAGGGAATGGAGGAATGGGGTATAATTATAGCTACTATTACTGCCATTCTTCCATTCCCTGCAAACCAAGGGTAAGAAACCTGGCTTCATCAAGCCAAACGCTTTTTGAGGCCGCAAAGGGTGTGAGTCTGCTCCGATCGTCGCCAGCCAAGCACAGGCTCCGATCGCATTGGACCAATGGCTCAAAGTATTGGAGTGGCCTTAATAATTAGAATGGGGTCTTGGGCTCCTTAATGCAATAAGTAATAATGAAGAACTCAAAGGAATAATGGTGATAGTTATTTAGGCTTCTACGTTACATACGTTACTTCCTAAGCCTTTTCTCCCTGAACCCCTAAACCCTGTTTGTATCAGGACTTGTGCAATCGCCAAACCCTAAACCCTAAACCCTTTTCGCTACTGGACCCTTAACCCTAGACCCATAACCCCCAAAGCCTACGTGAGAAACCTTGGTGGGGGTGTAGCCCGGAGCCTGGTGAAAATGACCAGCGGTGCAGGAGCCGGAGGCTACTGTTGCGGGGAGCCTCGACAGGGTTTGAAAGCGATAGGGAAAGCTTTGTTCTGAATCTTGCCTGGATAATGTATGTATGTAAATGTGTGTATATACTTTTAATGTATATATATATATATGCGTGTGTGTGTGTGCATATATATTTATGCATATGTTTATTGGTGCATTGTCGATTAATTTGTCCATCGCTTTATCTCTGTGTCTATGTATAGACATACGTATATACACTGCAACAGTATAGATATCTGGGTAGGTGTGTCTGTACTACGGCTAATTGGTACTAAGTAAGGGTTTCAAAAGACAGGCCTGGACATGCTGTAATTTGATGGATTGATGGCTTCCTGCACCACATCAAATTTTTACGGGGGGACTCGAAGCATGCAGGCCGGCACAGTCTATGAAGAGATCTGCGCTGGCCCTCACAACAAGATTTCCACATGCGCATTCGTCGTCAAGCCGCAGCCGTATTTCGGGACAATCTTCTGCGATGCCACCAGCTTCTGGGCCAAGAAGGACAGCGTCTTGTAGTTCTGGCCTGCGTCGCCCAGAGCACCATGGATGCGGCTTAGCGAAAACATCCTCAGAACGGAACCTGAGCCGGATTCGTAGATCGCAAAGTCCAAGATGTCGGCGTTTGGACCCTTGTACTTGGGAGCGTCATGCCTGCCCTGGAAGATAAACTTGAATGGCTTCGGCTCCGTAATGTTGTAAGGGCGAAGGTCATCCCCTGGATTGGGGTCGCCACCCGTAACGTAGTTGAAGCCGTCGTCCTGCAAGCTCTTCAATGCATCGAGGGTCTGTGCGTAAACCTTCGCCGGATCCATGGCAAGGTCGAGCTCGGCAAGGCAGCATGCATTGCCGCAAGAACCCATGTCTGGCTTGTCGCAATCTGGCACCTTCGAAGGAGAGGGTCCACACACACTTGGGGAAGTTTGCGTAGCGACATCGAAGAAACCCCCACGCTGCATGGATGACGGGGAAGATGCCACCGGAAGTCCACAACCATGCACTGGAGTGGGCTTGCTGGACCCGAGCTTCTCGGCAAGGAAAGCCAGCGTCTTGAAATTCTGGCCTGCGTCGCCCAAAGCTCCGTGGATGCGGCTTAGCGAAGACATCCGCAGAACGGAACCTGAGCCGGATTCGTAGATCGCAAAGTCCAAGATGTCGGCGTTTGGACCCTTGTACTTGGGAGCGTCATGCCGGCCCTGGAAGATAAATTTGAAGGGCTTCGGCTTGGAGACGTTGTAGGGGCGGAGGTCATCCCCTGGATTGGGGTCGCCACCCGTAACGTAGCTGAAGCCGTCGTCCTGCAAGCCCTTCAATACATCGAGGGTCTGTGCGTAAGCCTTTGCTGGATCCATGGAAAGGTCGAGCTCTGCCACGCAGCATGCATTGCCGCAAGAGCCCTTGTCTGGCTTGTCACAGTCCGGCACTGTCTCTGGGTGGCTGCCACAAACACTCGGCGACACGGCTGCCGCCGATGCAAGGCCAGCGAAGAGGCCCAGAACGCGCATGGCTCTGGCAAAGCACAAACCGGATCTGTGGAATGGCGATACCTTGGGCCTCAATGACCAAAGGGACCTTATAGTAATATAATAGTAATAACTGCAGTAATAGTCATAATCGTAACAATAGTATCAATGGTAATGATAGTAATACTAGGTATAGTAATAAGGCTTTGTTGTCAGGCATTGTTACATGACCTCAGCTCGACTGCAACCGTGCGTCAGTACTGAGGGCTCGTTGAAGGCGGGCACTGGCCCCCTTCCAGAACAGCATGGCCTGTGCCGGGTAATGCTGGGGCCTTAACAATGTGATTGGGTACTTTTGAGGGGCAGGGGGTTTCTGCAAGGCTTGCATACTATTGGGACCATAAAAAGCCTATTGTTAAAGCTTCAACAATTGACCGATGCATTCCCATGTCTGGCCCGCAGACATGTCCACTGCCTCTACACGCGAACGAAGGCAGGCTTCAGGGCATTGGGCTCTAAGGACATAGGCACTACGGATTCGAGCCTACACACATACCAAGTTGATGTTGCCATACTGACGAGTAAGCTGAGGTTGAGTTGGTCTGTTACGCTAGACTCCGATATGCTCTGGACTCAAAATGCTGCTGCAACGGAAACGTAAGCCAGCAATCCTGATCCCTGCAACCCTGTTCTCTTATCCCCGGACCCGAAACCCGCTAAATCCTCAAACCCTCAACCCTTAACCCTGCAAACCCCTAGGTTCTAAACCTCGAAGCATTTGGCAAACCCTTTTTTGCATCCAGGCTGCAAAGCTTCTGCTGGGAAGTAAATTTGGCAAACCCTTTTTTAAGCACGGACTTGGAGTGTATGCCGGCAGCGAAACTCTCTGGCAGAGCCTTCCTCAGTCACCTTAGGAGACCTCGGGGATGCACATATGAAAAACACCTAAACCCTTGGCCTCTTTGTAGACGGCCACCCCTTCCCGGTGCTCGAGGCGCTCCAAGGAGTGAGCGTGAAGCTGAGAGAAGCCCCAGACCTTCTTAAGCGCCCTTTCTCTCTCTCTCTCTCTCTCTCTCTCTCTCTGTCTCTCTGTCGTGCCATCATCTCTTAAGCGCCCTTAGAACCAAGACAAAAATATCGACTAACCCACTGGGCTTTTACTATAAAGAAATAAAACTGAAATAAACTATACAACGATGCATAGTTGAGTAGTTAAGATCATCCCTCGGAGCTGTACAATAATAACTAACGCTTCAGAATACTACAGCATTCGAGATGTCACGGACATAGATTAATACAGGGTTTAGTGCATAAATACTGGGATTTGGGGTTTCGGGTTTTGAGAGTTTTATCGGATTTTTGACACGGGCTCTGTTGAAGAGGTGTGTTTTAAAATATAATAGGAGTTTGAGAAGGTGTGCAGGGCTTTGCAGCAGCTTTGTTCGGCTTGTGGGAAGGGTTTTGAAAGTTAAATATGGGTTCCAGCAAGGTCGTTTATTTCAGTTTCTGTTGTTGTACACTCTATGCTTGCCGAGGCAGTGCAAGTCACGAGTAACAAGGAGAGGTTAGTACATACGTCCATGCCTGGATTTAGCTGCTACTGCATGCCACGACAACGACATAGCCGGCAACTCCGCTCCACGGCTGGGCATTCCATCTTACATGAATTGTTGTTTATACCTTTTTGTTTAGCAGCATTTGAGGTTGCTATCAATGCTGCGAATTGGGTACACGGACTCTTAGGGTCTAGGGTACATGAGTTTGTTGGATGTCGGACTTCACAGCTCGTCGGCCCTGAAACGCCGTAACTCTCGCACCGTCCCAACATGTTCAAAACCTCTCGCGTTTCAAAAACTCCGTTCCTGGCCACGAAAACCACAGCCTTGAACAGCTTACACACAAGCTCGAAAAATGCTTTCAGCTAAAAGCTTTCAAACCTGGCCAGCCACAAGCAGAGAGCTGACCTTCCCGAAACACTAAACCCCACAGGCTTCGAAGGCAAGTGTCGGCCCTCTTGAAGCACATAGAGGGGCAGGACTCTGCCGCATCCTCTACAAACCTGACGATCATGCAGGTCTTATTTCCTTGGATACTGGAGACCCGACAAAACCCTAAGGAACCTTGGGGAGTACTAGGGAGCGTTGGGGAGTACTAGATTTTATACGCCACCCCCGCCCTTGAAGCTTCAAGGCCTCCTGAGCTTATAGGGCTCAGAGCCCAAGGCTTTGTCCGGATCAATGGCAAAGGGCGCCATGCAGTTCATCACAGGGAATGCAGCCAAAACAAGCCTCTTCCTGCTCTTCCGATTTAGAAGAAAATCAGTGTGCCGAGTCGGTTACTATTGTGCCGGTGCTCGTCTTTGCCTTCGCATCCTGGATAAGCTGAGCTTGCAATCCGAACAATAGCTATCTTTGTGGTGCAACAGTTGTCTCGCAATCCAACTCACAGTCTGCACCGAAACACGCACCGCTTACTTTTGGTTAGTAAGTAGGGACTGGAGGAGTGGGGTACAACTATATCTACTATTACTACCATTCTTCAATTCCCTACAAACCAAAGGTAAGCCCACTCGGATTCAAAAGCCGAACACCTACACCCTTTTTCCCTCAGCCCTAAGCTCTTATGCCGGAACCTTGCAGACACGGCTCCAAAACTCAAAACCCCAAAGCCCGGACATCAAAAAATAAAAGAAACCCAGCAGAAACGAAAGAATCAAAAAAAATCCGTCGTTTCTGGCAAATCCATAGTGTAGTAAATTGGGGCTGAAGTAGAACAGGGCTGGGCGGCATCTGTCATAGTATAGCAGTAGTAGTTATACTGAGCAACTCCAAGGAGCAGTACTGATACTTGTTCAGTGTCCAAACTTCAAGCCTCAAGCCCAAAACTCTAAACTCTAAACCCTTATGAGAGGCAGGCCAGCAGCTGGCTGAGGAACATCAGCGGCTGGTCCGACAGCTCTTTCAGCCTCATGCCCCAGAGAGCATGTGTTTACACAGGGTTTTGGGCTTAGTTTCGGGTTTGGCCCAGAGAGCATGCCTTCACAGAGCTCTTATAAGAGCTTTACAGGGTCTCATGGGCTCTTATAGGCTTGCTTAACAAGCTTCTGCGATCCCCACAAATGCCGCAGAGGGCCTTCATTCTATTTTTCGTAGGGTTTAGGGTTTTTTTTTGGGCCCCACAAGGGCCGCCGAGTAGGCTTGTGAGGGGCTTGTGGCGGTTGATGGGCCGTGCGGAGGTCGTGAGGCGAGCAGCATGGGGCTTTGTAAAAAAACACTACGGGTTTAGGGGCAGCGCTTCGGTTTCGGGAAGGCTTCAGGGTTTACTGCTTCGGAATAGGGTTTAATCACTAATCTAATCTTCGAAAGTAGCTCCAAGCTCATAATACTCCAGTCCTGAGATCCTCATCAGCTCGCAATGCTTGCTCTCCGGACCTCCAAGCCAAGACCATCTAACAAGATCTGCACATGGGCAGTCGTTGAACATGAACCAAGAACAGTCATCTAGAGCCTGAACAACTAGACATCCCCGAAAATCTCGGAACTTTTTTTGCAGCAGGCCTCGTTGTCCAGAACCCTTAACCTTTTTCCCGAAACCCTAAACCTTCCTAACCGTAAGCCCTAAAGCCAAGCTTTCGCCGGGCAGCAACTCGAAGAAGAAGCCTGTGCCCATGGAGTTTAGGGTTTGAGGTACTGGGGTTGCACCGGGTTGTTCGTTAGGGTTTCGACGCTCACACTCGCACAAGGCAGGCAAGGCTCCACATAGTTCGTTAGGGTTTAGGGTTTGGGCATAAGCACTGTTTCTATCAATGATTCTAAGGCTTTGCGTGCGGCTTCTGAGTAGACAGACTTTTACAATGGTAAGGAGGGCTATATATCCTATGTTTCACTTTTTGCCCCCACACGCTACAGCGTCGATGCTCCAGTTTGCTTAGCAAAGGGTTTTGGGTTTGGGGCTTCCGGTTTGCGAACGGCTTTGTATTACAAAGCCGTTCGCAAACCCGAAGCCCCAAACCCAAAACCCTTTGCTAAGCAAACTGGAGCATCGACGCTGTAGCGTGTGGCGGGAGGCAAAAAGTGAAACATAAAATTTCTTCTTGGGGTGCAGGGTTCAAGATCTGAAAGCAAGGGCTCAGGGTTTCGAATGTGAAGATGGCCATTTAAAGCACAGCTTCGAAAATCAGCAAAAACGATGCATACAGCGGTGAAATCCAACACGAAGCTCCGTTTGAACCACAACCAACCAAAATCCGTGGAAACTTGCATGAAGCTACCATGACCCACGTGAACCTACTTTTCCGCGCGGTCCAATTACCGGCCCCTGCCATACCAAACAGTTGTAATTAGCCAAGTTACAAAAGTAAGGTCTTTGTAGGTAAGTTAACACAAACCTAACTAAAAAGTTGACATCGCAGGGGAAACTTGCAGAAAGTTGCAGCAAAGAGGCCGGGCTTGGCGCGCGACTCGTAGGCCATGGTGGCGAATTTCGGCTTTCCCAGGCCTTTCGGGGGTCGAGGGTACTTCGACTCGCACACTCCCTCAACGCAGGCACGGCTTCATGATGTCTGCCTGCTACTCGAGGGTATTTAGGGCTTTAGGGTTTGGTGTTTAGGGTCAAGGGTGTTTAGGAGGAGGGAGGTTCAAGAGGAGGGAGGTTGGGTGCAGGGTTTTCAATCTGATTCTAGCCACCGTGCACTTGCAACTTCAACGTCCCCACATGAGTACATTTCTTGTAGAGTTTGGCTACGAATAAATATACTGACCGCTGAAGCCCATCCTTTTTTGCCGCTAGGACGAACCTACGATGCAGGGCATCCTTGTTGGAGCTTGAAACCCTCGTAAAATCCGCGAAGGCGCTTACAATCCACATGGTACTCTCGCGGACTTCTTCTAACAGCCCTCCAAAACCACTTATGGAACCCTCATCCAACCTTAGTGGTTTCTGCATAGGCCTGCCTTCACTGATCCATCCGTGGTCAACCACCACCAATGTCACGTTGGATGGCCGCCTCTGATCCTGATTTCGGGTTTCGGGTTTAAGTTTTG